CGTGAATCCTACCGGAGCGGTCTCCTACCCGAACGGGGCCACCTTCACCTGTAACTCGGGATACACACTGAACGGCCAAGCTACTCCGACGTGCCAAGCTGACGGAAGTTGGAGTCATCCTGTTCCGACATGCACACGTAAAATGACTTTCGAGTTGATATACACATATGATACATGTATACAGCATTGAACATTGAAGTCTATTGTAAACACACCCACCATTTTGTAAAGATATTATTAGGAGGTATACATTTCACAATATTGAAAAGATACAGAATGTCTGTTAACGAGCGTCGCGTTAGGCATATTCAGTACAAAAATAGACCCCTGGAAAAAAAGGTTATGACTATTTCAGTTGTACAATGTCCGGCTCGGACGGCCCCAGCTAACGGAGCGGTGACTCCTACCGGAGCGGTCTCCTACCCGAACGGGGTCACCTTCACCTGTAACACAGGATATCAACTGAACGGCGTTGCTACTCCGACGTGCCAAGCTGACGGAACATGGAGTAGTCCTGTTCCAACATGCCAAGGTAAGTTGACATCTAAAAATTTATAAAATAAGAAAACGTAATTTATACAATTTGACATAAGTAGAAAGGATGAAAAAATAGGAACCAGACGTCTAATAACGAATAAACATTTAGGTAGTTTGTGTATATGTATGTGTGTATATATATATATCTGTGTGTGTGTGTGTGTGTGTGTGTGTGTGTGTGTGTGTGTGTGTGTGTGTGTGTGTGTGTGTGTGTGTGTGTGTGTGGTGTTGGACTTGAATTACAATTTCTATATACTTTTTAGGCATCTAATTCTAATGACTTCGAATTCACTCTACTGAATTTGTTTTCGAGAAATGTGATGCCGCGCATGTATTTTAGTTTTACATGTATTACACCTTTTTTGTGTTTTGTGTCAATTTTTGTCAATTTTAACCATGCTTGACGCGGTAGGTTCAATATATTACACATGCATTCAAGACGTGCAAATGCAACAACACACATCCCTGGTATCTCTAGATAGATAGATTAACGTGTTTCTTGATTAATAAATTTGAAACCTTCGAGTTGTTTCACCGGGTACATTGTAAACTTTACATATTTTGTATACCCCGCGTGCTACACACTAGTTTTTGTAACATGCATAGATTATGAACTGAAGTTGATTGAATGATCAATATACCCAACTGCTGACGGCCTGATGGCAATGACTATATTTAATTTTCGTTATCCTCGACTATGTGACATTCCAAAGCTAAAGAAAAGATTAATTGCCGACTGGTGTAAGGGCTAATTGTGGCTTGATATATGTACTTGTCAAAAAAGTAAGTATATTACCATATTTTTCATTGTATTTCTGACAAGGTTTAGAGCAAATGAAATACATATAGAGTAGCACTAGTCTATCTTAGCCTTACGTAGTTGACTCATTCGTGAGGGACATTTGATAATTGTATGATGCAACCTATCCTCATAGAAAATTCAAACAAACTCTACCACAGGATAGATTTCGGAGATAATTTCCGAACGTTTCGAGTAACATCCACCACAGTGACTGTTCTTAACGTCACTAATAAACTAACAGAACTTGAATTTTCTATCAAATCGTCGAATCAAATCAACTTTATTGCTCAACAACTGTAGATGGTACAATGTATGGAAAAGAAACAACAATGGTACATACACAAACTATACTAAAATATAATTCTAACGAGCTAGTCCATATAATAATAATACTAAAGCTAATCTATTGTGTTTTCTTAGTTGGAGTATTATTACGTTCTGTAATTCAGAGGATATATAAGCTATTTACAATATTGTGTCGCTTTTGTAGTGATTCAAATATGAATTTACCAACGTACACTGATATCTGAGTAGGGCATGAAAGGAGCATATTGAAGATATCTGATTTTGAGTGGGGTAGCTTAATATTAGTTTTGGATTTTCTATGAGTATTGTTTACCTGGATGTCTAACCTTCATCAGCGATGCAATCTATAACTGCAGGAATATTAATATTTTTAGAAGTGAATTATTTTTATGTTTAACGACGGAAAACATATTTTTTTGCTCTGTTCCTTCCTCTTTTTCTTCTTCTCCAAACAGTGACCTCTGATCTGACCAATGACATGATTTGTTGACGTCTGTCACCATGGTGACTGGTGTTGGGTTACATAATGTTGCAATTTCATGGTCTGCTCTGCTCCTGTCACCATATACCAGTAGTACATGTATGTGAATGTGTTTGAGTAAGAATTAACAGAGCAGACCATGTCCGAAAGTAAACATTATGCATTTGCTTTGCAAATGTTACTTCTCTAGTTGTCGTCTATGTCAGCATTCCCTCGTTCCGCATTTTCCCCATTGGCGCCAGAATACATCCTATGTGAATAATGGCGCTAACGACTTCGATGCGACACAAGCTAAGGCCACAGCAAGTAAACTTTATGGATGACATCCTCCACAGATTCCAAATCTAACGCGATAGAGCGAAGAAAAGGCGGGCAAAAAATCATAAAATCATAAACCTTGTCAAACAAGAAATGATACCTATACTGTGCTAAGTTTACTGCCAACTATTACAACATCTATTTGTCACTGAAACAGTTTTAAAAATAAGTTTCAATCATTGCACAAATGGTTTTGATTCAGTGGGAACATCACATATATACAGCCGCCATCACATATAAAAGGAATGAAATACTTCTTGGCATTAACGTAAAAAAAACAATAAATCAGAGCCTTGTCTTGTCTCCTCTCTTCATATCTATCTGCTATCCACGTTCCGGCATGGCCTTAGACAGCTTTGCCCATTTTCGGCATGTTGACCTCTGTCAGAGGGCAACAAAATTTCTTCTTTTTTTTCAAAATCAGGCCAAAATTAATGCGCGTGCTGATGTCATCCATAAAAATTACTTGCTGTGGCCTAACCGCATTACTAGTAATCAACCTGACAAGCCATATGGTGGTGCATGCTAGAGGAAATTCTTATCTGAAAGGTACTCAACGTGGCAAAGACTAAACGATCTGTACCACCGTGACACGACATCGGCCCCTGGGACCTAAGTATGCAAACATATCTGCACAGAAGACTACAGGGGGCAATTCTGTTTGTCACGTTAATCCCTATCTGCCACAACACTTAAATCACATATCAGAGCTAACGTTATATCATAGACGCCACATGGTTAAGCACGATTTGATTCCGACAGTCTCTAGACATGTGGCAGCCTATAACCTCGGCTAAACGTCTTATCGTCGTCTTGCAAGATTACGTCTGATTGTGATGAGCACCTTCTCCTTCGCCTTCGTTTTCAATTTGAGACTACCACGGGGGACATTTCTGCTTTTATTTATGCGAGGTTTGTACTTCTGGAGACAAGCCTGATCAAGATTCCTCCAGGAATTCAAATAGACTAGACAGGTAACATTTGCAAAGCAAATGCATAATGCTTACCATCGCATATGGTCTGCTTAGTCAATTCTTACTCAGACACATTCATACATATGGTCAGACAGGAGTCTAAATCCCTCCTGCTATAAAATTGCAACATGATGTAACCCAACACCAGTTACCATGGTGACAAACGTCTGGTTCAGGTTATTGACCTTATTGGTGTGGAGAACAAGACGAGTTAGAAGAAGAGGAAAGACAAAACGGAGAAAAAACAATATGTTTTCCTTCGGTAAATATAACAAGATGTTTGCTACACTCGTTGATGCGACAACTTCCACCACCCGTGTACTTTGCTTTTCGAATTCCATGTATATTTATCTTGTTGATGCACCAACAGTATATTGATATTCAGAGTAAATGAATGCCCGCTAGCGCGTCTAGTTTCTCCTGCTTTCACAACAAACTAGATTTTTATTAGCAATCCAAGACTAAGGCTTACATACACCCTGTCCATGGTGCTGAAATGATAGCTGCTGTAAAGTGTAAGAACAACGCCTTAGAAAGTCGTTTTGAAAATGTCCAAAAATTCACGAATAGCGCAGGTTTAGAATAGTGCATGAATGTGGCTTCTTACATTTATCCTTAGGTCACACCAATTTAATTTCTTGGTTAACGGATTTTTCTAGAAAAATAATGGCCCAAAATGGTAACATAGGAGCCATGAAGTCAACACACCAGGCTGGTTTAAAATTTAAACAATGAATTTTGAACTTTTAATGATACCATTGCATTGAAAGATGGAATAACTGTAACAACTAGGATGAAAAGGACTGTTTTCAACTGTTCAGGGCAAACATATGAGCATTTTGCAGTTGATTCTGAATTTTTATTTTTATTTGCAAATCAGAAAGAAATGAAGCGGGCGAATCCGTTAACCAAGAAATCAAATTGGTGTGGCCGTAGGGCGAAATGAAGTACGGATGATGAAGCGAGGAAATAACAGGGACTTATCGTAGCACCTTAGCTTACGGGAAATCCTGGTGTTATTGTGAAAATTCCTCACCATGCCATAGTGCAGTTAAGGCGATTTTCTCGCCAGTGGCGTCGTCTGACCTAGTTCCACCGTCATTGATTTTCTGCGCCAGACTAAGATACAGTACGCTTAAGAGTATTGTCTGTTTGCGGTATACTTAAAGCGATATTATGTAAGATTTATGCACAAACACTGTATACATAAATAATCTGAATTTGTCATTTTTGATAAGTTTTAAAACATTAGCGTCGCTATTTCGCTTTTCCGGAGACTCAATGCATCGCGAGAATACTAGTAGGTTGTGCCAGGCTGTATTATTAAGAGGCTCCTAAAAAGAATAAAAACAAACATCGGTTTTCGTTCGGGTAACTTCGGCAGCTTCCAACACGTTTTTGCGGCGCAACGACGTTCATCTTTTACTCCCAACATATCACTATGTACCCAGGTAGGCTTATAGCGCAAGAAAATGTGTAAAACAACGATGTTTAAAGTAGTGAAAATCTTACATAATGTCACTTTAAGCGCTTTACTGTGCTGGAGCAAAAGTTACAACGTTCTTTTTCCTTCTCTCCCCAGGCTGACGCTAACACTTGCCTGCCCCATGAGACTACAGAGGTTCCCGATGGATCGGCAGCAATGCAACATGCAGCTGGAAAGCTGTAGGTTTACCAACAATTCAAATAACTTTGTTAGCATTAGCATTTTTTAATGTCTTGGCCATGGGGTGGTGGGACTACGGCGCACAGATATGTCAACCTTGCGTATTTTTAGAAATGTTAATTGTACTTTTTTGTTGTGTGGCGCTGTTAATATAAGTTATTAACTTGGGTGCAGCGTCACACTGTCTTTGTTATGTTTTAGTGTTTTGATGAATGAAAAAACAATTGTCCATTACTTCATACATTTCGACATTCTAGCTGTAAAACGCAAGTAAAACAGCTCTACAAGCCTATACCAAGAAAATGAAAAAAAACGCATGGTCCACTCTACGTCCATACCCAATTTCAGGCCCAAAAATGAAGAAGCTGAAACTATTTAAAGGCAGGAGTAGAAGAAAAGGAGAAGAAAAATCACGAAAAACAATATATTTCAGCCATAACATGGTATTGACCGAAATATCATAAAATGAAATAAATCAGCTAAATGACAATGTATCACTTTTTTTAACTTGAAAGAAACGAGAGATGTTCATTTTTTTGTTTCCAGTTGGGTACAGCACGTCGGACTTGAATTTTAGATGGAAGAACGACAACCCGGTTCAACTGTCAGAAGATCTGGAGCTCCCCCAGTTCAAGGTGGAAGGATACACGCTGACGCGATGTGATAAGACCTACAACACAGGTGAGTAAACAAGCCTGTCTTACAAACATATTCGACAGTTTGATTTAACTACACCAGACTTAAACCTACTACCATACGGAAATGTTGGAATGAAAAAATATGTCTTATGATACCGAAGTGATAGCCTAATCCCTACAACTACTAGATAACTGGAGTAGCTCCCTATAAACAAATAGTACTGTATATCAACCTATAGACTTTTGCATTATTACCCTTGACATGATTGACCATTTTCCATCTCACGCCGTGGCCACATTCGTCGTTGGATTTGTTTATTGTTTATTTATTGTTTTGCACTTACAAATAAAATAAAATGTAACAATTGAAAAATAAATAGACATGCATGGGAGGGCCGGAAACCTGGTTGTTTATGTTTGGCCCTCCCTAATACTACATACTAAATATAGATGAAGATTACCATTCATACTAAATGAACCAAATGTCCATCATTTAGATGTCGTACCTTATAAAATGTCGGCACCAACGGAAATGTCACTGTAGAATTTGAGTGATGCCATACGTTGTATTGAAAGTATAATGAGATTAAACTGTGTTAACATGACATCTTTCGTAAATCCATCCACCCATCAATTCAGTCATAAATCTATTCATGACTAGGACCTGCATATACAGTATGTATGTATGTAAGTCCCATAACCTTGACGGTCGTAGGGGCATCATGACAGCCAGCAGCATGTCTGGACTTGTCACGATGGCTCCTCAGGCTTGTAATCTTGGCGGCGCCCCTACTCGTTTTCGAACGGTGTGGTGGGAACGCATGCTCGAGGTGTGGCTCTCCTCAAACACGGGACCTCCAGTCCTATCCGAGGGACGTCCCTAACCTAAGCTAGGTACTCATTTACACCTGAGTGAAGTGAGGAAAGTCGTGTTATATGTGCCTTTCCCAACGGCACAAGGTCGGTGACATGGGTAGGATTCTAACCTGGGACCTCTTGGTCCTGAGCCAAACACGCTACCACTACGCCACCCGACCCCACGACGAGCCATCCAACTTTCTCTTTTACCCAAAGTTACTGACCAATGCTTACAACTGTGACGGGCAAGTATCCCACCGTGCTTAAGGATAGTGCACTTCAGTTAACGACATTCCAATAAGAGTTTCCTTTCGGATTACCTGTCAGGATAGAACCTAGGGTCGATTTTTTAGGGTTGCACTTAGAGTGGGTATTGATCGGGAAGAAAGTACAGGAACAACTGGTCCGAATCTGCATTCGCCCTCAATTATCTCAGTCGTTAATTACCTTCGCCAAGAAGGTTATGTTTTCAGAGGCGTTCGTGTGTGTGCGTGTGAGAAGGCACACACACACTGATAACTTGAGAAGGCTTAAATGAATTGTTTTGATACTTGGTAGGTCGGTAGGTCTTGATGAGATCTCAAAATGATTAGATTTTGGACCCCCTAGCGGCTTGTTATGGTACTGCAGCTGAACTTCCGGTTTTGATATCTCATGATCGAAACATGCTAGGGTGACGAAATTTGGATTGTAGGTAGCTCTTGTGCTGTGAAAGAAGTGGCGTGAGATTGGGTCCCCTAGCTTGCTCTGGAACTGCAGGGCTATCTTTATTCTATGCTCCTGTTATTTTCTGTAGTTCAGGCTAGGCACTCACACCTACTGTTCTATAACAGTCCCTGGCACGGCAATTTTACACGGCACAATGTATGGCAACAACTATTTTTTTTTTTTTGTTTAGAGTTAAAACTTAAGATCCAACACAAAAATTCTCTCACCTAGAGCTTTCGACCAGTCACTCTGGTCTTCCTCAGTAGACTGACCCAGTGAGGCTTGTCACGTGGCTTCTTTGAAGTGTGACGTCAACACTGGGTCAAAGGTATCTGGTAGACGATGTCGGCCCCCGTCGCGGTTCAGTGAAGGGTGATGGGCCCTGATGTATATAGCCTCCTTCACCCTTCACTTCACTGGGTCAGTCTACTGAGGAAGACCAGAGTGACTGGTCGAAAGAAAGCTCTAGGCGAGAGAATTTTTGTGTTGGATCTTAAGTTTTAACTCAGATGAACTTTCATGATAACTATTTTTTTTATTTCAACGTACAAGCAATACAATACACAGGGTGCTATATACATGTAGATGGTATTGTATGTGAAGAACAACAATTGTTGTGCTCCGCAGGACAGAGTAGATAGATATAGATAGATGTAGGTAGATATAGATTTATATAGATAGATAGATGTAGATATATTGAATATAATACAAAATAGAGGTATAGAATACAACTTAGAATATATGTGTGACTCAGTTCATTCAAACCCCACTTTGCCAGACACTTTTCTAAGCCTCCTGAACCCACACCCACCCACCCACCCACCCCGTGTAACCAATTCGTTCTGAAAAGCCGTATGGATGTAGAACACAGATGAAGACAAGCCGGTCTGGCATTGTTCTCCACCAAAAGACATCCCGACCTCCCAGCGGAGTCCCGATACTCCGGTCGACAAGTAGAAATCGATCGGTAGATATACTGTGGAGGAAGCTAAAGCCTGCTCTCTGGCAGGACCAAGTGGCTAACTATTACCGCCACTACCACAGAAAGGCATTCATAAGTCCCCGGACGTGGGGAGGCATACAATAAGCCTGGTTTACCGCTCTTTAAGTTAAATTACCTGCCATTGCGTGGTAATCTTGCCGTTACGGGGTGGTCCGTGACTACAAGAAGCAGGGACCCATTTAATTGACTGCACAGACTCTTATACTTTTCTCTACTCCCATAGGGGGGTGCACAAAGATGTCTGTGGGACTCAGGTACATTAGACAAATATAAAACCTGAACTTGGACTAGATTTCGTGAGATATTTTGCGTGTTTATACATACATTATGAAAACTCGTACTGTGTAAAGTGAAGTCATGGGTTACTTTGTGATTACAACAATGCGTTTCAGTATGGGGGAGGAATCTCTTAATACGTAGTATATGCATGTTTCTTGTTTCACGGTTGAAAGTGGTAGTACATTGTAATTCCTGCACTGGTGGAATGGGATTTAGGCACGGCAACGGTGTCGGTGACTCAGCATTTTTAACTCTAAAAATTGCCTACCAAATGTTTTCAGTCATCTTTGCAACCTGAATTACAAGCGGCCCCGGTAAAGGGCAGATAATAAAACCACAGAGGTATACAAGGAAAGGTAAAACAGACACTAAATTCAGTGAATTGATACAAATAATGATGTAACTAGAAAAGTAACATTTGCAAAGCAAATGCATAATGTTTACCTTCTGCTCTGGTCAGACAGGAGTCTAAATCCCTCCTGCTATGAAATTGCAACATGATGTAACCCAACACTACTTACAATAATAACAGACAGTCTGGTTCAGACAGTCTGGTTTTCCTTCGGTAAACATAATAATGTTTAGTAAAGAACTTTATTTGCAAAATCATGCCCGGAGGCTAATTGCTTTTACAATCAAGTATTCTACTCAGTGCAATACAGTAATAGAAGACAGAGAACTACTGTCTGTAAAAAAAACTTATGCTTCTACTACTACGCTAGCTATTGTGGGGTTCGACTTCTTCTTTGAAGGCAGTGGATAATGTGAATAGTCCCACATTCTGCATAATCAGTGGGTTTTGTGATCATAGTAGAAACGTAGTCTTTTGGTGAATCTTCTAAATGACGAAAGGATGGAGAAATTGTGGTAACTGTCTGAAATGATTTGTTTCTGTCGGTCTCATAGTCAGGGCACTGGCTAACAAAATGTGTTTCATTTTCTACTGCATTCATTGGGCAATATTTACATAGCCCCTCGTGCACAAGTTTAGTAAACATTTTACAAAAAAATCATAGACAACCATTTAAGGATTCCCGAGTTATCTGGAGTACAACAAAAAACGCAAACACAAAAGGTCAGCTCCAGTCACGTAAGAACCCCCCCCCCCCACGAAGCCCATTTTTGGCCTTGACAATGCCCATTACTAAGACAACCTGCCTACTAAAAATCGTGAACCTCGGACCATGCCTTCAAACTTAATCGTGCATAATCTGCCAAACAGTGTCAAAACGATTTCATAGCCTTCTGTCGAAGGCAACAACGGACCTACTATGGGGGGAGTCAGTGGTCAATGTCAGCCAAGGGCGCCATGTAAAGCCCTGACGTTACTGTGATATAATTGCATCTATAAATGCGGATAAAAGACGTCAGTAAAAAAGTCATTTCCTGGATGAACGCTTATGAATCCCAGATGTAATTTGTTTTGGAGGGGTCTGCTTGTTGTAGTGGGGTCCTGGTATTAATAACTAGTTGTTACGATCTAGGACATGATTCCAGTCGATTTACCATGCTGTTTGCTCTATTAGAAGCTTGGATGGAACTAAGACAGTTCTATACATCTAATATTTGTCATGATTTGTTCTTACTTGCAACTTCTGTGTAATAATGGTGCGTTTATTGCAAACTCCTGCCCGAAGGCTAATTGGAAATAACAAAGATAAAGAAGATTGAAACAGGGTACAAAATAACTTCAAAATCTACATAATAACACGAGGTAATATCTAGAGCTATAGCTATGTCTAAAACTATGTCTGAAGGGTTTGAATATGCTTAGGCCACACCGACTTGATGTCATGGATGACATGAGGCTCTGGCCTGGCTCTAGGCATGGGTAGTCTATGGTTGTTATCGACAATACTGAGCTGGTTGTAACTCTGGAGGATGGCACCCAGGCTAACTAAGCTCCACGACTCAAGATCTTAGTACATACGTACAGTACCGATTCATAAATTCCGCAAAAAGCCAGCATGTGCCGGCTTGTCGTATACGTCGGCTCGTACCGCCGCAAATTCACAATACCAGCTTTGTATTCCTGTGGTTTAGTAGCATTTTTATTTTTGGCCAGCGCGCACTTGTTTGGGGGTCTTCAGAGGATGTCATCCATAAAATTAAGTCTGGTGTGGCCTTAGCAATGCTTCCCATCGATAGTGCTCGGAGCTAGAAATTGCTTAACAAGTGTAAGTCAGAATGTCTGA